CGTAGAATAAACTTGCAGAAGACTGTGAGAAATATGTTTTTGCAATGAAATGAATGGTTTTTTGCAAAAATATCAATTATACGCATGGAGCTATTGAACATTTCAATAGAGCAACCGAGGAACAATTATTCTAGGCAAAAATCAATGGGAAATGTTGATTAAACTCTTTGAGATTAGTTGTAAACGAAAGAACTGTTACGTTTCGTTTGAATATTTCCGCCGTTTATGCTGCAGAGCCATGTAATTACGATAGGCGGCCGATAGGTGGCGGCGTCATCAGTAGCGAAATGATTAATTTATTAATTTTTCTATAAATATGCAATAAATAATTAAAATAATGATGGAGTAATAAGGAGCAATTAAAGAGCAATCGTTGTATGCTGGATAGAATTGCACAAAGCTATTAGAAAAGTTTTTTTATTAAAAATTAAAAAATTTTCTTTTTTTTGTTAATGTTTCAGAACCTATTTATTTTAAAAGGGGAGCAATTGTGGATTCTAATGGAGCAATGAAGGAGCAATCATTTGATGCTGGTTAGAATTGCACAAAGCTATTAGAAATATGTTTTTTATTGAAAATTAAAAATTTTTTGTTAATATTTCAAAAACTATTGATTTTAAAAGTGGAGCAATTGTGGATGGAGCACTTCGGGAGCAATCGTTTGAGCTAGGTCAGAGCTGTCCACGAACTGCTCATTTCGGCCGATTTTCGCGAGGCACCGTCTATCACCCCCTACGCTCAGCTTCAGGTACGACGTATCGGTAATCCGACGCCGTTGCGTGCCCTTTGACTGCCAAATGTCAGTTTCTAAAACGTGATATGTTTAACATCTTTTTAAATAATTATTTCAATGAGAAATTTTTAATTTTCAAATATTAATTACATTGACGAGAATATTTTTAGTAATAGATTTCCACGTCACCCAGGAGGTACTATAATTGACGCGTTTTTTTTTAAGTGGTTTCCCCAGTACACTGGGGAAACGCGTGCACATTGGGTTACGCTGATGTCGACGGTAATGAACGAAAATACAAAAGTTACTTCAAAAAGCTGTAACTTGGCGAAAAAAAATCGCAGTAACTTCTTTCTTTTTTTAAATTGAAGGGAAAAGTACACACTTTTCGATACTTTGAGCAGAAGTAGCGAGGAAAAATTTCCTACGCCCGGGCGCCTGGCCAAAGTTGGTTACTTTTTAGGTAAAAACATGTCCTTACATTTTAAAAGCTACAGCAGCGCAGATGCATTCGAGGAAAAATCTGGTGACTAGTTTTTGAAGCTGAAAGTGCAAGCTTTAATTAAAAAAAAAACGATCTTGCTACGATAATTTTTAACGGAGATATCGTCGGTTATTGTCGAAAACACAAGGGTTACTTCAATGAGCTGTGATTTGGCGAAAAAAAATCGTAGGAACTTCTTTTTTTTTTAAATTGAAGAGAAAAGTATACACTTTTTGATACCGTAAGCAGAACTGGCGAAGAAAAATTATTACACTCAGTGCGTCAAAATGTGCAATTTTTAGAGAAAAAACATGATCTTGATTTTGAGAAAGTTCCGGGAAATGGGAAGAGTGAATGCAAATTCCAATAAGAGCTTCTTAAAGCAGAGGCTTTGCCCTATAAAATGAAAAAGAACTTTTCAATTCGACCAGTTTTCGCAAAGTTACGCTTATTTGAAATTAGCGAAATTTTGATGTAAATTTCTTGTTGCGTTAATTTTTTTGACCAGTGTACTAATATGGGAGGATTTTACTTACGAGAAAGACTAAAGTGCCTCTCGCCACGTCGCGGCAGTGAGTGGTACCAGTACTAACTTGCTGGAAGCTGGCTTTATCGAATTTTGTAAGCTTCTCGGCAGCTCAGCGAAATAAACTTCCTAGGAGCTTAATCGGAGCTTTGTGCTGTGTAAGTGCTGTAAGGATAAACAAATTATAAAATATAGTCAAATTGTTATATATATGAATTCACAAATTTGCAGGAATGAAATATGCAATGATAAGTACCAAAGTTATTTTAGCAACATTAATAAGAACATTCCGGTTTAAAGTTAACAAAAAAATTAAATTAGAGAATATAAAATTAAAATTTGACATAGAGAGAGTATTATCAACAGAAGAACCTTTAAAATTTCGAATTGAAAAACGAATACTAAAGTGATATAAAAGTATAATAAATATACGAA